CTTTTAGCTTATCATGTCGAAATAAGTAAGCAGAATTATCTCATTATTCAAGTTCACTTTATTTTATTATTTACCTTGTAGCGCCTTCACGAATACCAGATACATCAGTGCCTCTAGGTAAGGAAACATTCTGGACAAATTTTAGTAGAACATAATATGATTTGGCTTTACTTGTTTTGAAAGAATGTAGAAACTACAAGACTCTGGACTCCAGAGACAGAGCACAGGAACCAAGAAGAATTATCACGAGATATTTATGCGATAGCTCCTTATCCAAGAGATGGTACCGTTTCAGTGGCCTAGGGGGAGTTAAAATAGCTTCATCGTGTGTATATACTCATCGATGTACAACTCGTGCTACGGGCTGGATGGATGGCACTCATCCCAGTGAAATGGACGGAATTGTTACACGCAAAGTGTGCTATCGCTGGAGTAGTATTTGCTGTCGATTCAGTAATATGATCCGTGTAAGAAACTGTGGCAGTTTTTACGTTTATGAGCTTGACAAGCCACCTACCTGTTACCTACGTTACTGCACTGAAGGAGGAGGTTCGTAATTGATCTGTCATTTTTAAAAGCAGCCGCTTACCAAACTGTATAATATAACCTGCAACTAGGTAAATTAAAAATATTAAATGAGCAATCAAACCACTAAACGAATTAATCTCAACAGCAATACCGCTAAGTATATTAAGAAATTATTTATGGGCATCAAATCTCCATTTTCGAGTTGAAAGCGAGTATAAACGCTATTTTATTTGACAGAAACTGTTGTCCACTAAAGCAGCGGTTATTAGCTTTCAATTCGTGTACTAGATTTTTTTTGAAAGACTCACACTGAAATTCAGATTTGCGAATTGAAATGTCATGATAACCTCTATTCATGAGATAAATGAAAAAAGAACAACTCATGTATTGTTAATCCTTATACACTTTTTTCAAAAAAATGTTGTCGGACAAAACGGCGGATGAAAGTTGCAGGACCGAACAGTTGATGTGGGTAATGATTATTAATATGGAATGTCTTTACATGATGCCGGTGCCATACAGTAACGATCTTCGATGACGAGTCATTTGGCACATTCTCCAGCATTCAGTGTCAGAGGGCGCATTGTAATTATTTGCCGTAAACACGTTGGTGGTTGATTGTGTAACGTTGGAACGTTGTCGACATTAGTACTAGTTGACGCAGCAGAATCTCCATTCTTCATGTGACCAGCCTTACGTCAAGTAAAAAATGGAAAATAGGTCATTTCAACGTCGTCTTTATGGTTTCCCACATTTATCTSAACATAACGTTAAWAACATTAACGTTTGTCAAAAAACACTTCATTATCATGCAAAGTTTTAGTTTCACACAAATTTTCACGTGCAACGTATAGAACCTTGACAACAGGTCAGAATGAACTAGACGGTAATAGATCGTTTACGTGGGCTTTCTGTAGATGCGAGAATGGGTCAGCTGCCGCCATTAAGATATAAGTATTTCATTTTCACGATACAGCCTTTGTTTGAAGTCAAGAGAGAATTTTTGAAGTCAAGACAGAATTAAGTTAATATAAGCTATTTACTACATCATAATTTTTTACCGAACTGAACTCTAAGTATCTTCTTTAAGTATCCTGTCTTTATCAGTTTTCCAAAACACCTAGCCCGACTTTACGCTCTAAGAGCGTCTAGATTATTCAAAATATGMAAATAGCGTGAGATTTCAAAAAATTTGACCTGAAAGGTCATATAAAGAATATAAACGGTAYGGTGTTTGCAGTTTTGTCAGTATTGTTAAACTAATATTTTGACCGTTTGAATATCTTGTAAGAACCAGTAAGTTTGAGTTTGTGGAACGTCACGTTTCCAAAAATTACGCTGAACATCTTTTAGTGTGGGCCCACCACTAACGGCGTGTGCGTTTTTAAGTGAGATCAACGTTCTAGGGTTAATTTTCTTTTTTTTCTTGGTCAGCTTGCTCTTCTTGGTCACAAACCAGGTCACAGGTAGCTATAAAGTGAAGCTAGATATCGCGATCAGGCCACGAGGACGACTGAGGACACTTTGTGGGTGGCATGGGTGGCCTAGTGGTTAAGCTCCTGGCCTCTCATTGCTGTGGTCCGGCTTCGATTCCCGGGCACGGACCATATGTGAGTTTGAGTTTGTTTGATGTGTTGTTCTCTCCCTTGCCACGAGGATGTAAGGAGTGTTGTGTTGAGTGTTGAGTATAGAGGGCCACAAATTCATCAGTTCTTTACCGGCACGTGTTTACCCTCTTAAAACAAAGTTGATTTATTACTTTTTTTATTTTACTGATGTATGAAACAATTGTTGTCAAAAATGAAAGTAAGCGCGGATTGAGTTAATTTGTCATCCCCATGGAAGCTGAGACTGCAGACCATCTGCAACGCAGGCGCTACCAATATGAAGCGTAATATTCGCGACGAAGAAAAGACGCTAGCATTTTAAGACGTCTTCTTCCACAGGAAGCCCAAGTAATGAATCAAATTTTTGTTTTTACAGAACAGAATTAAAAATTGTTACGTACCCTTTGTTCTCCGGCTTCTCTAACGACAAAGCCTCCGCTAAATGAGCTTCGTTTGTAATAAACTGAAGCGACGATTTCCGTTAAAATATCCTAAGTCAAAGAGGTAGTATCTTGTGTATTTGTTTCTCCTTGGTAATTTTCCACTATGAATTCTTTAAATTAAATATACAAACAAGAGTTCCTTTAGCTCGCGCAACTTTCATTCGACGCAACTTTCGTTCACCGTTCGATCTCTCCGACAACGTTTTTTGTGTATATAGTCAGCTTGACTACATACCTATCTACCAATAGAGAATAAGGAAGTTAAACATATAAAACAGATTATTGTCAGATAAAAAAAACACGACACGCATAACACTAATCATCATTCCAGGTTGCAGTAGTGGTCATTACTTGCTGAATTATCATCGTGCGTACGGTTCTTGGCCTAACCCAGTCTATCGATGTGACAACACATTCACGAAGAGATGGTACCGTTTCACCGGTCTTGCAGGCCAACAAATGCCTACATCATGTGTGCCTAAATTTCGATGTGGAACTAGTAGTCCGGGATGGATGGAGGGGTCCCATCCAGGTAAAGATGAAGGGATTGTTAACCGAAGNTTTTGAAAGAATGTAGAAACTACAAGACTCTGGACTCCAGAGACAGAGCACAGGAACCAAGAAGAATTATCACGAGATATTTATGCGATAGCTCCTTATCCAAGAGATGGTATCGTTTCAGTGGCCTAGGGGGAGTTAAAATAGCTTCGTCGTGTGTATATACTCATCGATGTACAACTCGTGCCACGGGCTGGATGAATGGCACTCATCCCAGTGAAATGGACGGAATTGTTACACGCAAAGTATGCTATCACTGGAGTAGTATTTGCTGTCGATTCAGTAATATGATTCGTGTAAGAAACTGTGGCAGTTTTTATGTTTATGAGCTTGACAAGCCACCTATCTGTTACCTACGTTACTGCACTGAAGGAGGAGGTTCGTAATTGTTCCATTTTTAAAACAGTTAAAGGCAGTAAGCGCTGCGACCAAACAATCAAACAAAAAAACAGCCGCTTACCAAATTGTTTAATATAACCTGCAACTAGGTAAATTAAAAATATTAAATGAGTAATCAAACCACTAAACGAATTAATCTCAACAGCAATACCGTTACGTTTATTAAGAAATTCTTTATGGGCATCAGAAACTGTTGTCCACTAAAGCAGCGGTTATTCGTTTTTAATTCGAAAACGGAGTACTAGAGTTTTTTTGAAAGACTCACACTGAAATTCAGATTTCCGAATTGAAATGTCTTGATAACCTCTATTCATGAGATAAATGAAAAAAGTAACAAGTCATGTATTTTTAATCCTTGTACACTTATACACTTTTTTCAAAAAAATTTTGTCGGAGAAAACGGCGGATGAAAGTTGCAGGACCCAACAGTAATGTGGGTAATGATTATTAATATGGAATGTCTTAACATGATGCCGGTGACGTAACGATCTTCGATGACGAGTCATTTGGTACGTGCACATTCTCCAGCATTCAGTGTCAGAAGGTGCATTGTAATTATTTGCCGTAAACACGGTGGTGGTTGATTGTGTAACGTTGGAACGTTGTCGACATTAGTACTAGTTGACACAGCAGAATCTCCATTCTTCATGTGACCAGCCTTACGTCCAGTAAAAAAATGGAAAATAGGCCATTTCAACCTCGTCTTTATGGTTTCCCGCATTTATCTGAACATAACCTTAATAACATTAACGTTTATCAAAAAACACTTCATTATCATGCAAAGTTTTAGTTTCACACAAATTTTCAAGTGCAAGAAAAGACGCTAGCATTTTAAGACGTGTTCTTCCACAGGACGCCCAAGTAATGAATCAAATTTTTGTTTTTACTGAAAAGAATTAAAAATTGTTACGTACCCTTTGTTCTCCGGCTTCTCCAACGACAAAGCCTCCGCTAAATGAGCTTCGTTTGTAATTAACTGAAGCGATGATTTCCGTTAAAATATACTAAGTCAAAGGTAGTATCTTGTGTATTTGTTTCTCCTTGGTAATTTTCCACTATGAATTCTTTAAATTAAATATACAAACCAGAGTTCCTTTAGCTCGCGCAACTTTCATTCGACAACTTTCGTTCACCGTTCGATCTCTCCGACAACGTTTTTTGTGTATATAGTCAGCTTGTGACTATATACCTATCTACCAATAGAGAATAAGGAAGTTACACATATAAAACAGATAATTGTCAGATAATAAAACCACGACACGGATAACACTAATCATCATTGCAGGTTGCAGTAGTGGTCATTACTGGTTGAATTATCATCGTGCGTACGGTTCTTGGCCTAACCCAGTCTCTCGATGTGACAGCAAATTCACGAAGAGATGGTACCGTTTCACCGGTCTTGCAGGCCAACAAATGCCTACATCATGTGTGCCTAAATTTCGATGTGGAACTAGTAGTCCGGGATGGATGGAGGGGTCCCATCCAGGTAAAGATGAAGGGATTGTTAACCGAAGGATATGTTATCACTGGATAAACGACTGCTGTCGATGGAGCAACATGATTCAAGTTCAAAACTGTGGAGATTATTACATTTACCAGCTCGATAAGACACCTACATGCTATCTTAGACACTGCGGTAACCGCTCAGGTAAAGTGNAATTTTCATAGTTTTGATGGATGTTTCTAAAAGCAAGATGGCAATAATCAAATTTGATTATTGCAATCTTGCTTAGATTTTGATATATTCTTTAAAACCGCGTTGTCTAATGTATCTCCAAAGTCTGAATTTTTATCTGAATTTTGCATCCTATTCTCGGGAATCTGAATTTTCCTTGGCTCGCTTACATCAATATTAATTACTAATCTCTATCCTGTGAGTGGCTTATCTAATTCGTAAAAACTATAAATACTGCCGGGTATATTTGTTTTGATAGTGCTATTGTTTAAGGCATGTCTAAAAGCTAATTCTAAAACTCATGAATTATTCATTAGACATTCTTCCAATGAGCATTCAACTATGGGTCACATGACAGGATCTATAACTCAAGTTATAAACACTGATTAATTAAACATGAGTTTTATAACTAACCGGTTCAGTTAGTTATAACACTCATGCATAAAACATCAGTGTTGTAACTGATTTACAGACACTCGATGTATGCCCAACACTACAAAAGTTCTCAGTTTTAGACTCTCATCATAGAACTTCACTAGGTCTCGAGTTAAAATTACTTATTTGCAGAGTCACAGTACACTAAAACATAGTGGCGCTTGGATGTGGGAAACCAAGTTGATTACTGCTCATGCTCATATGGAGATATCTTCATCAATTATTCATTTTTTATTTCATGTTTATTGTAGTTTCTTAGGTTTGGGTTTTAGAAGTCATTTAAAAAACTCGTAGTTCGTGTTTTATCGTGGATATAAACACTCGGCCTTCGGCCTCGTGTTTATATCTCACGATAAAACACTCCTACTCGTTTTTTAAATATCACATAGAACATCACGCTAATAGATATTCGCGCGCTAACGGAAGTTCAAGTTTTGAGCTTTTTTCTTAGCATTTAAAAAGAATAAAGCAGTCATATATATGGTAAAAGATTTATTAACCTCGTTTGTTCGGTTTGAATGGGAAAATATCAGACCTCCGATATTTTCACATACAGACCGAACAAACGAGGTTAAGGTGTCTCGATCGTAATAAATAGCGTTTCGCGCGTATTTTTAAACTCCAACTACGTCGCAAATTTCGATTCGATTGCACTCACATTTTCACAGAAGTATAAGTGATTATCGATAATTCTTATTTATAGATAATTTTGCCAAAAAAATCGAAGCTATTTGGATAATCAATGCAAAATAAAAACACTTTCATTTTTCTTCAAAGTCAATTTTCTCAAAACTCATCGCAGAGATTGTAATAGAATTTTCAGAGTCATTTTTTCATAACATAATTGATATACTGACGAAGTTTGAATGAAATCTTAACCTAAATTTTCGAGATATTTGAGCATTTCAAAATGTTTCTCAAAACGATGTGGCCGTGTTTAAAGTCCTCGTTTGTGACAATATTCGAATGTTTTAACAATGTTTTAATAATGTTTTAAAAATGAAAAAACTACAATAGCTTGAAAGCTTAATCTTTCGTACAACTGYWGTCCAAGGCACATGCCCATTAGTTTACTACGGAAAAAGTTATTGCCATTTACGCAACTAGTATATTTTAGAAATTTAAACAACTTCATTTCGGAACGTAAAAGAATCTTTCCTCCTTAAAACATTACGCGTTATCGCTCAAATAATCAAATTTCCATCCCCAACAAACACTGCCAGCTATATTTAAGCTTCTGAAAGGGCTACATTACGATAAAATAATTTTTGAAAGTTTTTGACTTCCATTATCCCAGCAGCTCGTGTGCGTTTATTAACATATCAGCTCTATGCTAATTTTACAGCGTGACAAAATTTACATCATTTTCGGGGGGAAAAGGCGTGATGGCAAGTCCAGCCAGATTTACACAAGATAAAACAAAGATGCAAACACTGTTGTCAAATTGTGATAAAACGATGGTGTCTATCCATTCACCTCGGTGAAATCAACAAACTTAATAGTTTTGTACAAATTGGGAAATATCGTAGCGAGGTGATTGATTTTTTTGAATTTTATCTATTAATTTTACGTTTCGTTTACTTTTGTTTCGTTTACGTTTTACGACTTTCTGTGTAAATCTGGACTTGCCATCACCCCCCGCCCCCTCCGAAAATGAGGTAAATTTTGTCACGCTGTAAAATTAGCATAAAGCTGATATGTCAACAAACGCACACGAGCTGCTGAACGAAAACTTTCAAAAATCATTTTGTCGTAATGTAGCCCTTTCGAAAGCTCAAATGTAGCTGGCAGTGTTTGTTGGGGATGGAAATTTGATTATTTGAGCGATAACGCGTAGTGTTTTAAACGTTCCAAAATGAAGTTGTTTAAATTTCTATAATATACTAGTTGCGTAAATGGCAATAACTTTTTTCGTGGTAAACTAATGGGCATGTGCCTTGGACAACAGTTTTACGAAAGATTAAGCTTTCAAGCTATAGTAGTTTTGTCATTTAACATTCGAATATTGTCACAAACGAGGACTTTAAACACGGCCACATCGTTTYGAGAAACATTTTGAAATRCTCAAATATCTCGAAAATTTAGGTTAAGATTTCATTCAAACTTCGTCAGTATGTCAATTATGTTATGAAGAAATGGCTCTGAAAATTCTATTACAATCTCTGCGATCTCTTKACTTTGAAGAAAAATGAAGGTGTTTTTATTTTGCATTGATTATCCAAATAGCTTCAAATTTTTTGGCAAAATTATCTATAAATAAGAATTATCGATAATCACTAATACATCTGTGAAAATTTGAGTGCAATCGAATCAAAATTTGCGACGTAGTTGGAGTTTAAAAATACGCGCGAAACGCTATTTATTACGATCGAAACACCTTAATAATCCTTTAATATTCTTCCATAGACTGCCCTAACGGATGGGAAACATATAAAGGATTCTGCTACAGGCCCATGTTGACCAGCTTCACATTTACTGGACGAAACTGGGTTGATGCTGAGGACGTGTGTCTATCACTTGGTGGCCATCTTGCTAGCATCACCACTTCATCAGAACAAAGTTTCATCTTCGGCCTGATAAAACCGTTTTCCTCACAGCGCTTTTGGCTTGGCTTGAACAATCGTGAAAATGCATCTAATTTTCGCTGGTCTGATGGAACATCACCTTCATATACACG